ATTTGTGGGAATTGCTTCCTTATCCACGTGTGAGAGAAATGGCTTGTATTTCGAAGAAAGCTTACTGTATAAGAGATGACCTGACAATGGGTATATGTAGGTTCGAACCCCTTTTCGGATAGCAATGGAGACATCAAGAGCATTAGAATCTTGAGGTGCAATAGGTTCTGGTTCTTGAGATTCGGCAAAAACATTATTGTGTATCGTGATTGCCCTTGATAAAGAGAGGTAAATGCATGTTTGATGGTTTGTCTGGTGTAGAATGATTAAGAGGTTTTATGATATATAATGTAAAATGAAATATAATTGTTTATGATGAAATCAGTGCACTTAATGGTTAAGAGAGGTTCATGATACAAAATCATTCAGAGGGTTTTAAAATCATTAAAAGACAAACTTTTTTTTACCAAACAAGATTCACCTCTTAATGATTCAGATGTTATCTTTTAATAAAACTATTAAGAGTTCAACAAACAACCCTAATTGTCAAAAAACCTCTTATTGATCTCTTATGTTTTACAACATAAGAGGTTCGAGCTTTCAAACTATTTGTCTTTTATGTGATAAAGAGGTCAAAACTTCTTAGTGTCATCTTATTAGATAAAAGGTAAACACATGTTGTACACTACTAAAAAGATGTATGATTGACGGAATTTTGTGGCGGAATTTCCGTCGGAAAAATTCCCAACGGATCCCAAAAAGGTCAAGAAAAGTCAACTTTTATCCATATCTACCACAAATCCTTCACTGATTTTTTGAAAAAAAATTAAAATTATTTGTAAAACGGGGTTTCAACGGATTTGTGACGGATTTTTTACTTATTCAAAACCGTCACAAATCCGTCGCAAATCTGTCACAAAATTGGTCTAATTTATTTAAATAAATTAATTAGCGTCAATCAATAAAATTTTCGACGGAAATTAATTTTTTCTATTAAAATTTAAATTCCATCAGAAATTTTTAACCCCYCCCCCCCCCCCTCTCTCTCTCTCTCTCTATATATATATATATACTAGTTTTTTACATCGCGTGTTGCGCGATGATAATATATTTTATTAAATTATTAAAGTCAGTTAAATGAGTCGATGATCACATTTATATATTAAACTAATACAAAATCAATATTACATTTGATATATGAATCCACCTTATCATTATTGGTTGTTTTTTTAATATATATTTATATATAATAAGTTTTATATATCAAACTTTGTAATTGGTCCAAAATCATAAAAAAAATATGTGAAAAAAAATGATTATAATCATGACGTGTATTATGAGAATTGTTTTATCATAATACATATCAATTTATCTCCTACATATATTCTCATAAAATATTTATATTCACTAAGCAAACATTGTGTTGTTACCTACTTTAATATAATTATTGAATATTTTTTAAATTTGCTTATATTAGTTCATGATATACTCATGTAATCTTTCATGGGCCGGAAACCTTCTTGAAATCCATTTTTTTTCTACATGCGATTGCACAAAGTGAGACAATAATAGCTATTATTATGATCATTCTAGATACATAAGAGTTTGATTGATTTGTTATTTTTTCATTTGACTTGTCAAAAAATTTAGATTTGTTTTAGACAGTTCATAGTTTGTTTTCTCTGTAAAAAAAATCCTTAAAAATGAGGTTTTTAATAAAGTTATGTAAAATAAAATATATGTATTATATTGATTATAGTGTTAATTATATATAGAGTTTGATTTTAG